TGCCTCCATGAAGTACTGTTATTTAATTCACAGTGTGAACTGTCCCATTAGCCATTGTTTCTCAGCTTCTTCAGTAGAGAGAGTAAGAAACCAATAATGTAAGATAAGGTTTCAGGAAGAAAAGCAATCATGAAATTCTATATATTTGGAATATTTTTACTTCAATAATTCCAAGCATCCATTTCCTTAGGCTCACAAAATGGCACCTGATATGTTCTATTGCATGAAACTTCTGGAAGAGACTGGAATATGTGTTGTACCTGGAAGTGGATTCGGCCAAAGAGAAGGAAGCTACCATTTCAGGTACAGTTTCTGTTTATTTAAAATCAAATGAACTATAATAAGCTAAATGCCATCCCACTACTTTATCTTCTGATTAAATATAAGGATTTTTATTTCAGTTTATGTTGTCTCAGTTTCTACTGGACACTTTCTGTGGACTGACAGCTAGGTCGAAGACGTGGTCTGCTAGATGAGCTATTCAGGTTTTTACAGTGTTTTCACAGCTTGCTGACATAGTTTTATTCTATTTTTATACCCTGACATTTGAAATGCCTTCTCCACGAATACAAACAATAATAATAGCTTATACTCTAATCTTAAAGTTGGCTAAGGCATTACAAAAACTGGCCTCCTTTCTTCTGGGGGGAAGGGGGATAAAAGTGTTTCCATATGGAGAAACTGCATGAAAGATGCAGTACCTTCCCTATAAAGCTGCTCCTTGAACTTGCCGAATAACTCTCTGCTTCACCAAAACAAGATGTTGGACTAAATCTTTTAATACCAAAACCATGAACACAAACTCTATTGCTTTTGTTTCCAGTAAACAGCATTTTCCAATTAACTAAGCACTTTACCGAGCCACTGATAGCTGGAATTTATCACAGAATTTAGTCTTGTTTGGTCTGAAGCAACATAGCAGAGGGTATCCTTAGCCATGAGAGGTCTGCAGCACAGACAGCTGGTTAGAGATCTGTGTGCATGCAGCTACAGGAAAAAACTAGTGTGGGTCCATCCCTGTACCAGTGTGGGAAAAACAATTTGTTCTCTAGGTCTTCCCTACAGTCTTGCAGACATACTCAACGTGATTTTCAGCTTGTTCAGAAGAAGGAAAAAAGGGACTAAAAACCACAGCATAGGATGTGCATTGATTTAATGCTTCTGAATTAAGTTTTCAGTTCAAAAAGAAATGTACATTTACTCATAACTGCCTGACCCTAAGGCTCCAAAAAATGGGTATAATCTGGCATAACTGCCCCCAAAATGGAAACTGAGCTGCTGTTATTTCTTACTGATAACTTTTTTTATCACTCAACAGGAAACAACAGTTTCTGAATTCCTGTATATTAGCCAATGCAAAGAAATTGCTATAGTTTAATAGTATAGTTCAATTAAAGCATATATGCAGAAAATAAGAGAATAATATCAAAACAGATATTAAACTTGACAGATTACTAGCTGTACCCTGAGATTAATCAGGGCAAAGATCACAGCTAAATTTGTTTTGAAGATAATGTGGGTTCTTTTTTTCCTTTCTTTAAATGTTATTTTTCAGAATGACCATTCTTCCTCCAGTAGAGAAGCTGAAGATCCTACTGGAGAAAGTGAAAGACTTCCACATAAAGTTTCTTGAAAAATATGCATGAAACTACTGTGGCTTCTCTCCCTCATCTCCCCCCCTCTTCAAGGCAAATGCAGAAAATGAACAAAGATGTGCTGAGAATGTGCTGCTCATCTAATTTAACTAAATTCAAAATAGATAGAACCAATCTCAGATACTGATACAACTTATTGGACTATTAAATTTAATGTCTGGTATAGAAGACATTGTTACACCAACTTTTTTTTTTAAGGGGAAGGGGAGAATGTGAAGAAAGCAGTGAAAAGGAAGTCAGTATATGATTTTGTGCCTTGATTGGAAGTTATATTTGTGAACTTTTGACTTAATAGGTTGGGGAAGGGAGCTGCTCATTAAAATTACTACTGTTGTGTGGGGGTTTTTTTTATGAAACAGAAATGCCAAAAGCAATTGTTTAGCTAGGAACATGTTTCCCATCTCAAAATGATTCTAAAAAAATTCAGAAGCCTACATTATAGATATTGTTTGGTTTCATTTTTGTTGTTGTTAAGTATGAAGTGTTCTCCAAATCTGATTAAGCAGGTAAGTACAGTGTGCTTATTTAAAAAAAAAAAGAAAAGAAAAGAAAAGAAAAAACCCACAACTTTGGCAGATGTGTGCAGGTACCCTTGAATTTCTCTTAAAAAGAAATCCTGCCATCACAGCATAATCTGAGAAGAAAATGTAGTTTTGATCTGAGAGGAAAATGTAGTTTTGATCAGAGGACCGAACATGGTATCTGCTTGAACCCTATTTTTATGAAACTGAAACATAATGAGGAATATTAGCTTCTTACTCGTATGCTGTTCAACACATCATCCCAGCGTAAGAGCACCGAATGCTTCCTCTCGTAACAACTCCATGAGTCTCCTGTTAACTCACATCTTCCACACACATGGAACACAGCAAGTTCCTATTTCAAAGCAGACGTGAGTACTGACAGTCCTTTCAATCAGGGTGAAATACAACACTATTTCAGAATCGCTTTATCTGTGGAGAACATTTGTTTGGAACCACATGCCGGAGAGACCCGTTAGCTGGCCAAAATCCAGCTTGAACTGGCAAGGACTAACAAATGTTGTTACCAGGAGAAATGCTGGGGGTGGTTTCTAGTGAAGGGAAAGGTATTTAAAGGAAAATGGCTTGCACCAAGCGTAAAGATAACGCTAGTACAGCTCACTTAAATCTTCCGCAGTCCTACTGCTGGCTGCACGATCCTGAGTGCTTATTAAAACCCAGCTAAACCAGGTCGCTACCTAGGAGTACAGCTGTATTGCTCTACTCATCTATGCCAGTTTCCCTGCACAAGGAAGGAAGGCTTCTGTTTCTCTAGAGCTGGAAGCTGGACACCTTCTGCTAGCACTGATAAAGGACTGAAGGAACGTAGCTTCCAGTACTCAGCCATGAAAGCGTTAGCATTTGTCAGGCTTAGGCTCAGCATTTACAAAGTTTATTCTCTAAGAATATCTCACTTAATCTAGTCATTAATTTTAAGTTATTAATTTAGAAGTAAAGTCATTTTTATGTCTACTAGCACTTTGTTAGGCTGCCTTCGTAGCTGGTTCAACATCCTACGCTGATCCAGGTTACTAAAGCCAAGGGCTAGAGAATCACCATTTGGATAAAGCATGTGCCAATCTATTACGTGCAGAGGAGGAGAGATGTTGCCAATAACTGTCCTTGCAACAGCTGCTGCTGGTCCATGACACAGCATTTGTGGCTGGTGTCCTTCTCACAGTTCCTTACTGAAGCCTGTGAGAAGAATCTAGTACTTCTCAGTCACCTGCCAGTGGTCACAGATCCATGAATGAAGACGGCACGCTGCTACACAAGGCTACTAGGGAGGCTCGGGGGGAAAAAAAAAAATAAATACTTTTATCCTTGAGAAATGTACTTCTTGGAGGACAGCAGGCTGAGAACACTTACGTTGCCACTCTCCATTGATAAATACAACTTTTTATCTGTTAGCACTCTCCACTTGGCATCCTTAATATGCACTAATAAAACAAACCCAGAAAGCAAAACTGTAGTAAGAGCTCAGAATATTGATGTAAAAATAAGACAAACGCACTTTCCTATTCCAGGAATGTGTCCAAATCAGATCTGGCTTTGGACTCATAATGCAGTGTAGATTGAAGCTAAGATCTAACAATGGGAGTTAGAATATTTTTTTATATTTTTGTAACTACAGCTTTTTCATGGGGTAGTATTTGTAATCTAATAAGTCAATAGATTTTATATTTGCCTTGCATTTGCACCTGATACTTCTGGAAAAAAATGTAAAGGTTTACAAGTTTCTAATGATAATTTACAGGTGTGAAAGGCTTTTTGTTTTAAGTCGGGACAGCAATTCTTACACTTTTAAATCAAAATATAATGGCATAAACTGAGTTTTTTCTAAACATTCTATTATGGTGCCTTTTATGTTTCTGACATTATAAGGGATAACAATTTGTTCTTGATGCATCTCATATGGAAGGGTGGTGATTTCTATTGTCCATCCAAAATATTTGTATGTACTGTGATACAGTTAATGTGCATTTTGTGGAACAATCTTGTAAAGCTAAGAACAGAGGCTTATTTTCAATGTCTTTGAAATATTTCATTAATAACAGACAATCCTTACTTTCAAATGCATGCTTCTAGGTTTGATTTTCCTACAGGTGCTCCTTATAATGGTACTTCAGATGTATGAGACTTCCAAATAATAAAGCACATGTTAAAAAAAAAAAGGTAATAGTTCTCCATTTCCTGTGTCACTGAAGAAGCACTTGCTGGATTGCACTGAGGCATTTAACTTCATGTTCAAAGTGGTATTTACTTTAACCCATGTAAGAGATTAATTTCATTAATTTCTGCATCACTCCAATTTATGGACTTGAAGTTCATCAAACTTGTTACCACAAAACTGTTCCCTGCCAAACACAGAACTGTACATAGAGATGATATGAAGTATGTTTTACACTCATAATTAATCATATCTTTTTATGCAAGGAGTTACAACCAGCAGTTAAGGAAGCCAGACTTCCTTCTTCATAGAGAGGCTCAATCAGTTGGTTAAGGACCATCAACTGTGGCCTGAAAGCTTTGGTGAGGGCGTTGTTTGGCAAAGTCAGTTGTTTCCTTTTTAAAAAACTTCTTACGTGGCTTGGATGAGATCAGACTTACAGAGCAAAACAATCTTGTCTTTTTGCAGTGACACCTCAGAAGGACTTTACTGGTGTTTGGTAATTCAAAAGAAAATGAAGTTTAGGGAAATGGAAGGTAGTCCTACTTCCCTAAACTTATACACATATGCCAGCACCACTAAAAGAAAAAAACAAAAGCAGGCTATTCTCTTTGTATCACGTATTTGAGTGTTTCCCAGAGCAGCAACACTTACCTGTTTTTTTGGGGGGAGTAGGTTGGTTGGTTTACAAACAAGAACATGGTCTGATACGAAACAGTTATGTTACAAATTGTCAGTCAGATTTTTACAGCTTTTTTTGGGGGGGTGACGTAGGCTGTCCCATCTGGATCAGTAGATAAGGATACTGTGCCAGACACATATGATGCATAAAAAGCTACTAACTTCAGACAGCTGGCAACACCAACTTCATACACCGTGTGAAGGACACCAGTGTTTTAAGACATTATCTAAATTCCCTTTTATGCATGTCCTTGGTCGATAGAGAACACGGGTTTGTTCCTTTGTACAAAAGCTGAGATATTCGTATCTCTGGTGTGCTTTTTTATTTGAATGCATGTGAGGTAATAAGTTTGGGCTAGGAATTCTACTTTTAAGGATGCGGCTTTGAATGTTTTTATACATTCAATACTTCATGCAGCCACGCCTTTCCGATGTTCCACATTATTACATGTTTATTGCATACTCTCTTCCCCCGATCAGAATTTGCACAACCTGCAACCACCTGCTTCAGGCGGAACAGGTTATTTGCTTTGCTCGCCCCGAAGCGCTGCCCATCCCTCACTCCCGACAGCAGCCAAACAGCTAAAAACAAACCTCAGCTGTGAAAGAGGGTCCCTCTCGTACAGCTAAATGGTTTCCAGCTCCCTGCCCAAGCCCTGCCAGCCCCTGCTCACCACTCACCCCGGGATGGAAGCGGTCCCCAGCCCCACCGCCGCTCCTCAGGCGCCCGGGTCAGCCGCGGCCGCTTCAAAGCAATTAACAAAAAAAGCACAATTAATGTCGTGCCACCAGGATAAAGCCCGCCCAGCTCCCGTCAGGACGCGGGGCGCCGGCTGTTGGCCAGGGATAGTTGTGTCCCCCATTCCTGCAGCACCACCCAGACCCCACGATTCTCACCTCACAAATTCCCGCCTTCCCGCCCTCCCTCCTGAGGGGACAGCCCGGGAACACCCCCCTCTCCGTCCGGCCCCACAGACCGGGGCCTTCCCGCCTCGCCTCGCCCCGTCCCCTCACACCGCAGCCCCCGCCACCCCTCAGGGTGTGCCGACCCGGGGGAGGAGAAGGAGGGGAGGGAGAAGGTCCCCCCCGGCTCTTACAAAAGCTTCCCGGGCGAGGAGAGCCGGCTGTGTCCTGTGAGGAAGCGGCCATGCCCCTGAGGAAGCCGGCGGGCAAGCGGCGGAGCACCGACTCGGGAGTGGAGCCCGACCGCGGGGCCCTCTCTCAGGAGAAGAAGGACCAACGCATCGAGCTCTTCCTCAGAGACTTCGACCAGCAGGGTAGGCCCGGGGAGAGGCTCCGGGAAGCGGGGTGGGCCGGCGGGAGCCCCGGCATGGCGAGTGGTGGCCGCCGTCCCACCTTTCGCCGCGGGTCGGAGAGGCCTGTCCTCGTCGCCTTCTCCTCAGCCTGAGGAGCGTGGCCGGTGGCGACTTGGGAAGAAGCAATGACACCCAAGGCAGATTTTATGTAGCTTATAAATGGTTAAACTGTAGGGGATCTTCTTCTAGAGAAGAAACGTAGCTTTGGTTTCAAGGTTTCAAGGACTTAGTAAGATAAGAAAGGATGTACGTAGCCCTGAGAACATGGTGACCCTAAGGCAGGGATGCAGTTAAGTATGGACATTGTCTGACAACAGGTGGTAGCCGAGAGATCATTAGTTTTAATGAGCAATTAAGCAGTTAGGATGTTTTGCTGACGAAAAGTGAACCAAAGGACAGGTGAAGAAGATGAAGATTGAGGAAGAAATAACCCTCACTCAAAATGAGGACCACCAGAAGGCACAACTACCCATGCCCAAAAGCTTATTATAATATGTAAATGAATTCTCAGAAATGTGATGGATATGCTAATGTTTTCTTGGAATGGCATTGAATATGTATACCCATTGTGTATTGAATTTGATAACAGCATTTGGTGTGCACAAAGGGAGGAGCTATACCCTGTGCACCCGGCGCCACAATAAAGAATGCCTGTTTTCTAATCTTTAAACTGAGTCTTAGAAAGCTTTATCTGCTGGTTTGTGGTAACAGCAACACCTAGAGCAATAAAAGCCTGGGTGGTTTTTTTGTTTCTTTTAAAGCCAAGGAAAATATCCAGGAAATGAAGAAAGAGCTTCATTCGCTTCTGCAAACAGCTGAGAAGGCGTTTACGGTGGAGCTGCTGAAGATGCCAGTTGCCATCAGGAAAATGAGAAGAAAAGACTTGCTTAGTAAGTGTGTGTGGTCTTAAATTTTCCAGGAACGCAGATGTCATTACAGCATGATGTACCCCTGGCTAATGTGAGAAAACATGTGAACTTAGTGATTTTTATGAAAAAAAAAAAGTTTACTTTGCTGTGTATTTTAAGCTAATCAGTAGTGGTATGAGTCTGCAGCTGCTCAGTAAGCACTGTTGTTCAAGTATAGACTCTGGAGCCTTCTTATATGTGTGCTTTTAAGTCATCCCTTTTTTTAAAGCCTGAAGAGACAAGGAATAATTACATGTCTAGTATTTTCTGTGTGTAAAAGCTTAAGCATTTCTTCCCATCTGAATCTAGCCACAGACATTATTTTGTCTTTCTGTTAATTTGAAGTCTTTTACTACTGAGCCTTTCTCATCTAGTTGCTTACCTGTGATGATGAGCAAACAAGTTCAGTTTAAGGCTCACATTTATGCAGCAGTTTAAGCTGTGCTGTACAGTTGGCATCAGATATATCTTCTGGTGAGAACTGATGTTTTTGGAATCTACCTTGTGGCTGGAAATTGCAGGGGCTGCACAAAGATCAAACCCAAGACTCAAAGAACTTGGTTTTACTGTAAGCCTTTGCTAAGTATTTATTTCAGTGTCTTTCTTGGAAACTTATGCCTGAAAGCATTAGCTTTCAGGAGTGCAATGTACAGGGGTTTTTCTTCTTTGAATTGAGGTTATATATCATGTGACCGCACTTAGTATCCTTTCAAAGATAAAACATACTGAAATAGCCTAAGGTTTTCATTGTTGTTTTGTAGGAGTGACTGTCCTAGGAGACTTGAATCTTGTTCAAATGCAACATATATGCCAGATAGCTTAATTATTTAACCAACTGTAATGCTGAATTCCATGTTGAGGTTCATAGCTCATAAGATAGAACCTGCAGATAGTAGTTATGCAGGTAATAGCATATAAACAAGTTACTTTCTTGAATTGCAGATTTGCAAGGAAGGGAGGAAGTGGCTCTTGCTGCTGCAGTGGTAAGTGTGTGTTTTGAAATTTTATCACAGCTTACAGAACAGAAGTCTTCTGTCCCTGCTGTAAGCACTTCAGACAAATGTTTTCATTTGGCTGTCTGTTTAAATAGAAGATGATATGAAAAGGCTAGACAGCCAGCCGTGGTGCAGTTGTGAACACTATCTAAAGCTTCAAGGTCACGGAATTACAGAATTGTCCAGGTTGGAAGGGACCTTTCAGATCACTAAGTCCAACCATCAACCTAACACTGACAAAAACCATCACTAAACCATATTGCTAAGCACTACTTATACCAGTCTTTTAAATGCCTCCAGCATCATCTGTGGGCAGAAATCCAGATGTTTCTGAAAAAATAAACTGGTGTTTAGCCAATCCCACTTCTGTTACTTTATTTTGTGCCTTTTTAGTTCACTGCCTTTTGTAGGATGAATCACGTTACTGGGCAAAATCTGTTGTCTTTCCCTTGTTGAATAAACATTTTTATTTTTTTTTAGACTGACTGTTCTCTAGAAGAAGTACCCAATCCAAAACTCTCCAGGACCAACAGCAGAAAAGGCAAGCCAATCCATTAATAGATAGCTTGGTTCTTAAATTTTCACTTTTTTTTATTGGTTGAACTGGGCATTTGTAAAGTGAATGTTAAGCTTGAAGGATACAAGAGGGAAAAGTGTGTAACTGGAAGTACAACATACAGCTCTCCTCTGCGTTCAGCGTGGAGGATCATGAACTATGCTACTGCTCAAGCACTTTAAAACTTGAGATAAGAGTTCCTGCCCTTTGAATTTATCACTGAAAATGGTGACAAGGGACAGATTTAAGTGACTTGTCAGTGCTTTACAGTATAGTAGAAGTGTTAGGAAAGTCACCCCTATTTTCTCATCAGTTCTGCTTTTGACCTCCTCCCTATTGAGGTTTGTAAAGAAAATACCATTTCTTCATACACCAAAATATGCAATAGGAGACTACCACTGAAATATAATTCTATTTTGTTGAAGGGTTATCTAGTGTCTAACTGAAGAGACTACCACTGAAATATAATTCTGTTTTGTTGAAGGGTTATCTAGTGTCTAACTGTCCTGTGTGTCACAGGGTCTGTGATGAACAGGCATAGTTTGCTTTGAACTCTGTCCCAGGTGAATGACGGTCAAATAGCAGAGCTGATAAATAGCTGTCAGTGGGTAAACGGGCTTCAAACAGACGAGTTTGAAGTGGTGTTCTGTGCTTTTAATGAGATTTTATTTTCCTTGTCTTTCTAATACATTTCTAGTTAAGGTAACTACAATTGTTGAATATGAAGATGCCAAGCATGTTTCTGCAACAAAAGTGTGTAAAAAAGTAAGTCTATTCTGAATAAACAACATAGGGGTTAAATCAGTTCTGACCTGCTAGGAACCCAGCTAGATCTATGACCGGGCAGGCCAATGGCCTGTGGTTTGTTTGAAAAATTAGTTCATTTAAATTCAATGTATTTTAAGTTAAGCAAGGCTAAACTGCACAGTAAATTAATCTCATCATGAAATATGGTATCTGCACTTCTGGTAACTCATTCACACAGACTTGCAAATACTGGCATAACCATACTCTCTTGACTTGGTGGTTTGAGGAACTTTTTTTTACTTTTAAAAAATCAACTTGATGTTTTTATATATGCTTTTCTATATTGGAGTTATTTGTGCATTCTTGTCCACCTTGATCTCTCAACCAAATAGCACAGGTGTATTAATTGTACTGTCCCAGTCTGTGCAATACAGTGTCACAGCCAGACACTGACGTATGTAGCAAGATGACAACAGAGATAAAAAGATTATGTGCACAGTTACAGGCATTAATTAAAAGAGGGCTTACAGGTTGGAGGGGTGTATATTACAGAGGTGGTTGTTTATGCAGAACTTCGGTATGAATAAATAAATATTCTTTGGCATTATGGAACTTTTGTTTTGGAATGCCTGTTTGCCATTTTATTTATATTTAGAACTATAAAAGACAGCAGTGTGGGGCTTAACTGTTCCTTATCAACCAGGTATTCTTACAGTATTGTTCCCTGGTGATATCTATAATTTTGCCTTAAAATGTCGCTTCTTCTAACTGCAGTCTTACATGTACCCTTTCAGGTGTCCAAAACAAAGTCATTGGTTTCATTGTCCTCCGGTTTAAACAGCAAATTCCAGCCTCTTTCTAGGTAAGACTGACCTTTGATAGCTTATTACACTCTCCTGAACTTGTGAATGCTGAGAAAAAACTCTTCAGGTAAAGCAGCTGAGATTTGTGGGCAACAGAAGTACATGTGGTAAAGATGTCTTCCTTAACCCGAATGAGATGCGTTGTAGTGATGTGAGCCCTGAACAAAAAGCACCCCCCGCTGATGGGGGGATGTAGTTGTGTCTCTCACTCACCAAATGGTGCACAGGCCTGAATCTGTGTAATCAGTACAGACTTCCAAACAGTATTTAATGGAAGAGAGCATCAGGGAAACATCTTTGTTGCTCTGTTAGGACTAATGAATTGTTCTGTAATAATTTTGCCCATATACATAGCTGAAAGGGAGGTGTCATTAGCAGGAAAATACACACTTGTAAAAACACCTTAGAGCTACTTACAGCCACGATGGACCAAACTCAAGTCTCACTATGAAATCTAACGAGTTAAAAAATTGGTGGATATCTGCATGAACATCTGTTTTGAGAAGCTATTGCTACATCTACAGCTGCAGGGTGTGTACTTGTACCCACTGACACTTATTGTGATACATTCAAATTGTCTTCAGGGAAATGTGATTTAAATAATATATCGGTGTTTAATGTGCCTAGAAGAAATTAAAAAATAAAAATCGTAGCCAGGTTTAATTAGCTCTTGAATTGAGATTATAGAATTTTTGGCCCAACAAAATCAAACTGGAGAAGGCTGCTTTGCCTGGGGAAGTTTAACTTTTCAGTGTTTGAAGGTTGCTTTTATCCAAGTACATTAACGCTGGGACAAAACCACATGCCCTTACAATATCCCTGAAATTTTTCCCCAAAAAAGGGAAAGAGTGATGTAAACTCCTGTCATCAAGATTTCTGTGAAGTGAGTTAAAATCCAGAACTGGAAAAAAAAAATGGTTCTCTGGATTCAGGTCAACCACAGAGGACAAATATCCTGACAAGTAATCTAGAAAAATTAATTCCTGCTGAAAAAGAAACTTCCCAAGAAATTTTTGCACACTCAAATTGAAAGCTGTGGATGCAGCCTTAATTATACCCCACTTGGGTATTGCAGCCTTCTCTTATCTACACACATAAATTATCTTTCATTCCCCTATGGTGTTAGGTCCCATTATATCATGTCTACCTCAGGAGGGCTTCCTCATATGTATATAGACCAGATCTCTGTCGTGGAGCACTTCAACATTCTCTCACCCACCAGCTGTCTATCTTCATCCTAACTAAAGCTCTACAGTAGATGAGGAGGAAATAACCTCAGGAGGGCTTCCTCATATGTATATAGACCAGATCTCTGTCGTGGAGCACTTCAACATTCTCTCACCCACCAGCTGTCTATCTTCATCCTAACTAAAGCTCTACAGTAGATGAGGAGGAAATAATTTTTAAAAAACCCCAAACCCCACTTAAAAACAACATCCACTTTTTTTTTCCTTCTTTTTTTAGATCTGCTCAGTCTCATGTAAATGTGACTGACGCTGTCAGGTCTCTTGCTTCTGATTGCAGTGCCACAAATTTCAAAACTCTGCCAAAGCTATCTAGAAGGTAAGGGATTTTTGCTTGTTCTAAAATAATTTTGTTAAATATCAAGTTACTATATATCTACATTAATTGCAACCTAGATGTTTATCGGTCATTGTCAACCTAGATTTAATAGATCTTCATGGTCTGCCACTAAATTTGGTAGTAGGGATGTGAATCCTGCTTTTATTGTGGGTGTTAACTTCTCATTGAGGTACAGGATTTGATGTCCTAACTAAGCCAGGTTAAAAAAAGTAAAAAAGAAACTGACAATCAGTTTTTTGCACATTGACCAGTTAAAGCTTTCAGTTGTTATCATTCTCCAGACACTACAGAGTTTGGTTTTGGCAGAAGTCATCAGCTGAAGTGAGGGGGTGAAAAACCTAATAACTTAAATGGGTCACAAAACCAGCAAGTAGCTTAGTTTCACCTTGGCCTGCTATAAATCATAGAGGCTTGTTTCCCTGCAGAAGATACCCAAATGTTACATTTGTGAAGTGGAATAAGAACAACTAGATCATGAAAGAAGATCAGGAAAAAAAAGTTGGGCGAGGAAAGCAGGAGAGCTGCGTGGTTGAGCAGGGAGCTTCTGTAAAAACTCAAGTAGAAGAAGGAAGTTTACAGTGCATGGGAGAAGGGACTGACCACTTGGGAAGATTACAGGAATGCTATTAGAGTATGCAGGGATGAAATCAGGAAAGCCAATGTCTCCTCGGAATTAAAATTGGCAAGGGATGTCAAAGACAATGAGAAGGGTTTGGTGATTTGTTGTTTTGTTTTTTTTCCAAGTATATTGAAGGAAATGTGGGCCCACTGTTGAATGAGATGGGTGCCATGGTAACAGAGGATGTCTTTTTTTCAGTGGTGCCCAGTGACAGGACAAGAGGTAATGGGCACAAACTTGAACATAAGAAATTCCATCTAAACAAGAGGAGAAACTTCTTTCCTTTTGGGGGGTGGCAGAGCCCTGGAAGAGGCTGCCCAGAGAGGTGGTGGAGTCTTCTTCTCTGGAGACATTCAAACCCACCTGGACACGTTCCTGTGCAACCTGCTCTGGGTGACCCTGCTCTGGCAGGGGGTTAGACTAGATGATCTCCAGAGGTCCCTTCCAACCCCATATCATTCTGTGATTCTGTGAATTTTGTATGGTGCAAGACATGCCCTGTACCTCTGAAAGCCAGCAGCTTTGGTGTTCCCCTCTGTAGCAGACAGTTACAGCACACATCAGCAGTGCTGAGGCATGAAGTTTCCTCTTTCCCAAACTATAAGCCTTCACTGTTGATACTGGAGAATGGATATTTGTGTTACTGAGTGGCCCAAAGGTCAGCCTGCTCGCTGGCCTGCAGCACGGGCTTAGGGCTGCTGTGGTGTCTCAGGGTCAGAAGATGTCACCTGGTGGTGGCAGTAAATGCTGCTGTCGGTTGGATTTCCTGTTTTCTGGCAGAACTGGAAAAAATTTAAAATGTCTGTCTTTCTACTGGGTATGTTTGCTACTACTTGCATTTGCTTCGTGCTTGAAAACTTCCTGCAGAGTGGGAAGTTCATCTCTGAGGAACACTTTTCCTGTATCCTAGTGCCAGTTGGATTTCCTGTTGTCTTCTGGCAGAACTGGAAAAATTTTTTAAATTACTGTCTTTCTATTGGGTATGTTTGCTACTACTTGCATTTGCTTCGTGCTTGAAAACTTCCTGCAGTTTTCAAGCAAGTGGGAAGCTCACCTCTGAGGAACACTTTTCCTGTATCCTAGTGCTGGACTCCAACAGCCTGTCTCCAGAACTCTGCCTACCCGTGGAAGGGTTCACGGCATGTTACTGCGAAGTAAATCGGTACCCCGAGATAAAACTGTTCCGTTTGTAAACATTCCTCTGGCTGATGGACAGGTATCAAACTTTTTTTTTTTTAAATCATCTTACAGCAGCTGATAAACTGTAAATAGTCTGATAGTGATAGCTCTTGTTATCCCTAAATGGAAAAATGGTTACTCAAGTTTTGCAGTGTTAACAGGGAAGCACATAATTTTCATAAAAGCTGACCATGCAGGTAAAAACCTTCAGAGTAGATTTTATTTATCTTAAAACTGTTTCTCTTCACCTTTAGACGCTCTGTACGGCTGGTGGAGACCTCCGTAACATTGATGTGCAGCTACTAAATCAAGATACAGTACAGCATATTCATCACCTAGTGGTAAGCTTAAACTAACGGCCTTGCGTAGAAACATTCAGACACCTAGTCTCAGGTTCTCCTGTGAGAGACAGTCACGAATGCAAATTCAAAGTGCTTTAACTCTTCTGAGGTTAAGCCTAAACTGGAGGGAGGAATAGGGCAAGGGAGGACCAGGGAGGGAAATAAGTAAAAATAAGTGCACTTAAGTAAGCGTGTGCAGTTTGGTAATTGCCTGAGAGGCAACAGAAGCATAAACTCTTCCTTCTAGATTGCTCTGGTGTCTCTCCTGCCACGTGAGCAAACTGCCCTTCTCTCATTCACAGAGGCTTACAAAGCTATGGCTAAGCTTCAGTTCTTGTTATAATCTCTCTATTATTCCGTGTCCCTTGGTGAGTAAGAACTTTGCTGCTAATTCTCTGCTGCAGTTCACAGGAACTGCCTTACCTGTGGTGCAGGGAGGAGAACTGTTCTGAAACAGAATGAAGCTGAGCAAAGCTTTGTAGTGTGTAGTGGCCAGCTTCTCTGAAAATGAGTGCCTGGCCTTGCGCGTGAAGGAATATGCAGCACTAGAAAGCTATCTAGACATAAAAAATATTAATGAATTTACAGCCTTGCAGGTATTTAGACTTGAATGCAGCTGTATGAGTTAAGCTAAAGGTCTGGAAGCTGTTTTGTATTACAACATGGGCCTGCCTCTGTAGGTAGTGAAGGGGGCAGTGCTTGCTCACCGCTTGCTTTAGCAACAGCAGCTTTTCTCTCTTCCCAGTCCTGTTGGATACCTTCAACTAAAATGAATTTTTTCCTTCCCTTAGAGCGAGCTGACTGTACTCTGTGGAAAGGCATCAGCTAAACCAAGTTAATGGAACTGTCTTCTGACTAAAGAATATTCATGACAGCTCTTGCTGCCTCTGAAGTGTTTAGAGAATGTCTATAATGTCTTAATAAAGCTGTATACTGTTCAGTAAATGTTTTATATAAAAGCATGTGATGTGTATTATTAAACTCCTGTTATGTCTCTGAACAATACAAAACCAGAAGAAAATAATTCTGCTTTTCTAACTTCTTATAAAAGGCTTAGTTAAAATCTAACCTCAGTTCACAGTAAAATGAACAGTAATAGATTGCATGTAGGAAATAAGTTTTAACTCTGATATTCTAAATAGGACTCTTTTTGGTTGTTTTTTACATGATTGTTTCTAAGTGCCATTCTCGCATATATGCAACAAGCAGAATGTAGTGGCACTATTACATTTTGTCTGCCCAGTATCAATCTCTAGAATTAAGCTGAAGTGCAAACTTTTAAAGTCTCAAATAGCATTTTAAGACCTGTTCCATGTCTTGGATTCATACATGGAATGAATTTTGACACAGGAATAAAACTTCCAGTTTTGTGCTGTGACATAACAGCAATGTGCAGGGTGACAGGCAGTCACCTGACTTTCTGTAATTTGTGATGTCAACCCCATTTTTCTAGTACTTCTATACAAAAGGCTTTTAACATCTTTCCAGGTGATGATGCTAGTCCAGCAGTCGAGTTTCAAATAAGGGAAAAAGAAAGCCTTCCAGGGCATGGCAGACAAAAACTGATAAACAACATGAAGTTAAAACACTATCAGACCTGGGTTAAAACTATGCTCTCGTTTGATAACCTAGAAAATACAAGAATAAATACCTTATTCAGATTATCTGTGAAATTTTACAGAACATTGAACAGTTAATTCTGTAACTCGGTAGCTTAACCTGCATTATTGTGTGTTTTTCCCTTGAATTGGTAAGAGCATTACATCAATGTGGTATCAGCTTTTGATTATTGCAGGAAAATGGACATTTCAACATGAATGATTGAACCGTTTACTTGCCTATTACAGGAAGGTAAGCAAAACTGAAATGCAGTACTGAAACCTGCAGGTTTTCTTTAATTTTTGCAAGACAGGCCAACACACCTTTGGTGTGGATTTCACTGGGGGTTTGGGTATGGTGGCAGCCATGTTACAAAAATAGCTCCTAGTGTTTAATCCAGTCTGCTCTTGTTAAAGTATTTTCTGAGTTGCAATTTAGAAATTTACTTTTTTCTGTAACTAAAAGGCTGTTCCTAAGAACCGGGAAAGCATTTCTGGGCCCTGATGCAAAGGGCAAATTCTCGGGGTGTACACTGTAATGAAGCACAAGGACTCTTCAGCCAACTGAAGTCATTCTTAAGAATTGCCACCAAACTAGGAAGCCTCCAGAACTCTATTTATATCTACAATGTTCCTTTGAAATGTGCTAAGAGAGGCACAATTAAATACAACAAAACTAAATGCCCCACACCTCCTTCACTGTGATTGTTTAAACTTGATACTTGCATCAGCCTAAGGCTATTGCGGAAGGTTAAGGGTTAGTAACTAAAATACAATTTCCTAAAATGCAATTAGTTCTTATTTAGAGGGCTGGGAAATAGCTGCATATTAGTCTGATGTGCTTCATGCTTTCCAACACCAGTAATCTTTGTTCCAATGATTACTGGTAACGTCTCTGCAAACGTATTTTTTAGAAGAAAATAGTCTCTTTTATGCGAGCAAGAACCACAGCACTGGCAGTATCTTATGACTAGCTAGTCCCTGTGAACACCTTGGTAAATTAAACACACCAAAGAGGACAGGTAAGACTTTCCCTCAGAGTCAACTTTAGGTTAATTTTAAGCAGTGTATATACAGAAATAAATGTCAAGTAGACAAGACTTCCTGAGGTTGCTTATGGCCAATTTTAAAGATATTTAAAGTGTCAACTAAAAAAAAATGGTTCCAATACAGTTCTGGTGATGGCATTTTCTTCTTCCCCCAACATACAGAATACTCATTTGTTTGTAGTAGCACCTCTAACACAAGTACTTCAGTGGCAGCTGTTTGTTTCTGAGAACACTACTGCTTTGATTATTCAGAGGACAGTCCCACTGGCCCTGTCAAAGCATTAATATTATATGTTAAGCATTAAACTTCATCAGTAAACTGCTAATGCATTAGTAAGTATAGCAGTATATTCCTTGCAATTTAAATATTGAAATCAAGACAGTGTAGACTGTTAATTTATGTGAAGACTTCCTACACTAAACTTTGTAGGAGAAGATACAGGACAGGAGATGTAGGTAATAATGGCAACTCTGAAATCAAAGTCACCATTCCTGAAAGATAGTGCTGTCAGGAGCCCAAATTAATGCAGTCTCAGGACTGAAACAGAACAAGAATATTCACACTGCATACTCGTTACTCCTCTTCAGCAGACTCTGCTAATTGCTTTTGTGAGGGGTGACAGGAAAGGACTCCTGCTAAGTTACCATGAATCCCTTTCCTCTACTCTCCCACCTCCTCCAAGGCAATTTGAAAGTAAGGGGATAAAAAGTGTAGAGTACATTCTGTTTGCCAACGAGGTAAATCCTAAAGCTACTTCTTAAAAGCAGAAGATGGGCATTTTAATTATTTAAGGATTTCAGGTTAAGATGACTGACTTTTTGGAGAAATGAATCACGAGAAAGGATCAGTATGTAACCACAGCTTCATGAAATGCAACATGAAGTTTTAATAAATGAAAATAAAGATTCACTAAATGAGAATGCCACAGCATACGAAGTCAATATTGAAATACAGGTCAAACAGTATTTATTCTTTAGAGTCTATAACAAGGATGTTCAGCAACACTCAAATGCCTACCCAAGCACATGGAAACCCTTGGAGTTTGTCCATCCAACCTCACTGGTAAAGTGTCAACAACTATCTGAGCAATAATTAAACAAGTCACACTTCAGATTTGTAAAGAAAAAGTAGAGGCATCTTGCAACCTCCTCGCTTCAACAGGGAGAGCAATCTCACTACAGAGCAGCGTGTACCAACCAAGGCTCATGCACAGTTCCTTAACAATGTAACAAAATGCTTAGATAACTAACTGCACCCCATAATTAAGGTCACACTTTTGCTTTGTTGTGGTATTTTCACCAATTAAAAGCATATAAAGAGGAACAGAACTGAAGCTGGAAAACTTAATAGTTAAAACAAAGTGCAAACTACTGGAAAAGTAATAAAACTGTCTACATTTAGTATGTTTCCAGGTCAAAGTTTTTTGTCAAGTACAATACTAATCTCAGTTTCTTTACAAACTGTGTTAATGCAACCACGAGTTGCCAGGCATAACGTTCATCTTTACAAAGATTTTTAAAAAGAAAAACCTGGAAACGTTTTGCTAGAAAGTCAGGCTGAATCAGGCTTTGGATTGAACTCAAAGGCTAAGAGAAAGGCACCATTATTCTGGTATTTAATCATCTTCATTTAAAAGGCTATGTTACCTTCTGAGTGAACTCAAATATCCTTGTGTTTTCTTCATACAAAGGGGACATGGCTGCAGCCTTCCCCGTGCCCATTTAGTCATATCTCATTTAAGAAAAAGACTTTAATACGTGGCACACCAAAGTTACCTCACTGCAACCTACTCTTAAAGCAGCTTCAGCCTCCCTGTGGTTATAAAACATCTACCATCTACCTAGTCTCCTCCTACACAGAATAGTTAAAGCCACTGGAAAAGTAAGAGTTACAAGGCAAAAGAAATATATTATACACCAACTGCTTTTATTTAATTTCAGAAACCGTTCACAAGATGGTAGAAAAAACTTACAACCACTTCTAATTTAGTCTTCCATTGTTCCCAGTCAGCTCTAATCCCATTATGTGCAAAGCCCATTTACCATGCATCTAGATGATAGATACAGGCTATGAAATTCTTTATTCTACTTGTAGCAGCTTATGCAGGTGCAGCCAAATACCAAGCCTCAGGACAAATTGTACACAAACTTTACAATGTAGAATTTGAATTTAAAATATGAAACTTAAAATCTACACAAAACTGGTAAAAATCAAGCACAGATACGAGGACAAACTTAAAACCCATGTGAAAAGGAGTCTCGTCTTCCTTTCAAGTGCTTTATTCTGCTACACAGTCAAAATGAAGATGTAAGCTTGTGGTTAGTTTAAATTACACTCTGTAGATACTATAGACCAATTTAAAAGTTACACATACAGCAATAGATGTCCATTGGTTCATCTGGATTACTTATACAATCCAGCTGGATTGTTGAAAACAGGTCAGGCAAAATTTGAAAGAAAATCCTTGTGCAACTTTTTAGACAAACGTTTACTGATGGGCACACTGTACCCCAGGTCCATGATGGCTGCTTTCTTCATCAGAACTATCGTTATAAGCTTCACGTCTCTGGCCACCACCTGAACCACGAGTGGTATCAAATTCCTGAAGATCTACCTCTTCTGCATCACCAATTACATTGGGAAATTCTGGTCTAGCTGGCAGAAGATCTTCAAGTTCCTGCCCCAAAAGAAGAAGTGTATTCAGTACTGGATCTACAACTGCTAAATAAAGCCAGCGGTTTCCCACAGCTTCAAGAGTCCCTCTCAGAGCAGGTTTGGTTTAGAAGTCTAAGCCCATGTAGACTCTGAAGTGCATACTCATTCAAAAGTATCCAAAATATTTGTATCAACTGGAAGACACAACTTAAAAAGAACCAACAGCTCCACATATCATCAACCAAAAGTGCAATCAGTAAATACAGTTGCACTCTGAAAACTTATCACACAGCAACAGGAAGATTCTTCCTCCAACCCTCATCTGCCCAGCCCTTAAATACAGGTTCCATAAATTTTCAAGTTACATGTTGCCCATAAACAACATTAAAAGAACAATTGTACTTGCATCTAAATTTAAGCACTGAAAACATGAGGTACACCACACACACTTTGCATACACTGTCAAATAAGATGACCACATTTATGCTTGAAAAACTACTTACTGAAAGCTTTTCTGGGCTAATCCAGTTATTTTCAGGAAACTGAACATCAAATTTAATGTAAAGATCCCCCTTCTCAAAAGGATTGCGATACTGTGGCATTCCTTCACCTTTGACTATGCGGAT